TGTTCGTCATTTGATATTTTACTATTAATTGCTGCATGAGAATGAAACTTGCTTCTGCTTTTATTCGGATTAAAATATGCTGATTTCTTCGTTGGGGCAAAATTCCAGTTTTTTCTTGCGCAATTGACTTGTTATACTTGTGAAGTTGGATCAGCTTAGTCTCATATTTTTGTCATGTTTATTATCACTTTTGGAATGATCCACTTAACGGATCATTTCCTCATTTCTATTTTGTTTTTGCAACTTGGTGTTTTTGTCAGCGTGACAGAGGAATGCTCTTTAAAGAGTTATATGGTGATAAGCATGGCAAGGTTAACTGACTATGCTGACTACGATAGCCCTAGAGGAATAGGGAATATTTGTTTTACATAAGCAATTTTGATCATGTTAACCTGCCCAGGGAGCTCGGTCGGTAAACTCGTCTAAAGATAGGAAGCAAACATGGTTCTACTTTTTCGAAGGCGCTTTTAACTTCGTTAGGACGGGCGAGTGGAGGGGATTCGTAAGTTGGTTCCACCGGAAGCTGTAGGGGGATTGTCTTGGTTGTAGATTTGTGCGAATAGGTCCTTGGCGTATCTTCCTGCGACCCCTATGAATCTTTGCTGAGCTCTCATCCGTCATGCCGCTGACATCATCAGAGCAGGACACCTTGCTTAACGATAATTCGCTAAAAAACACGAAGACAAGAAAGGGATTCTTCGAAACCCTGTTTTTTCTACAATAAACTTTACTTTCCGTGCTGATCTAGTTTGTTGGCTGAGACTAGCATATTCATCCGGTTTCGAGATCAGTGCATGTTCACTTCCTTAAGGATTTGCCTGCTAATCTGAAGCAGATCCGACGTCGAATAATCTGACAAATCTAGTTTGGCAGATGGTATGCTTAAATATGATGCGCACAAAAAACCCTCGGACCTCACGTGTCATACTTCTTTTGTGCCTTGTGAATTAACGAAATATTTGTCTGTATAGTCTAAGATAGTTACAAGAGAGTCTCTCACTTCTGTTAATGGACTCAGTGAACTTAAACTTGCCATCCTCCAAATCATTAGTTCGCTATTACTGTATATAATCGCCACTTGAAGCTTTGTTTCTTCCTCTATACTTATTGATATTGTGAGAGGAGCCTCGTGACAGATCTTTTATGCACTTAACTCTCTTCCTGTGCTGTAATGTTACATTCTCCACCTTGTCAGGAGAGTTGAGAGTTGCATGTTTAAAAAGCATATAATCTAAGCGAAGGTATGAAGGCTAAGATGGTGTGGATTTTGTTTATATATAAGTTGTTTGACTTTGTTTTCGCAATTTGTTCATATTGGCAAGAAGACCTAGAGGAACGAACCTTGTTTGCATGGCGCGATATGTGAATGCAGGACATGTTAGTTGCCATTGATGTTCAATACCATTCCCATTAAATTTGTATGTGAGCTAAAGAGTATACAAAATAGATACATAGTATAATGAAATTGGATCAAAAGGAGATTAATTCTTGATCTTGTTTGAAATACTCCATACACTCTGACCAGAGGGACAGTGAGTACTTCTTAAACTTAAGTGTGTCCGTTTGCTAGTTGAAGATAGTTAACACTTCAAGTTGAAGAAAAGGAAATAGCTGAACAGAAGCTTTGAATTGATTGCCGTGAACACATCTGGACATGCATATGTCTGTCACATTTTCAATGCTGTTCAGATTTAGTAAAGTGTTGGCAGGTACGATGGGTAAATTGATCTGGTCTCGCTTTACTTTACAAAATGTATATATATATATACTCAAGGATTGATCTGTTTCATTATGTTTCCTCTTTGTCTCATCTATTAATCCCAGATGAGATTCTAAATTTGGATATCCGAGTCCAGAGCTGACACTACTATTGCAGCACACAGGTTACATACATTAATTTATTTGTTATTAATTTTTAGGTAAGTAGGCATCATTTGGCTCACGTTTGTGATTATTTAGGACCAAATTAAGTATATTAATGTTCTACACATATTATGATATTTAGTATACTGGAATATATCTTTCTTATCACACAGAGTTATCGGCTACTTCCATATGGATTTATACTGAGCTTTTGTTCTTTGATCAATTCATACTAATTTGAAACTGTTTTTGGACACCTACATTTTCAAAATCTGTCATGAGATGTTTTTTATTTTTAGATAGAGATCAAGATTTATTAACAAATATCATCAAACCGAACATCTTGGCATTGAGCTCACTTCGATCGTCTTCAAATAAAATTAATGAACTCTCTTCCAACCCCTCTTCGTCTTCTGCTCTCAAGTCGAAGTTTTTTTCAAAGAATAACATACAACCATCCACTACGCCCTCTTCTTTATCTAAAACCAGAACTGTGTCTGCAACTGGATCGGGAAAATCAAATACCAGCAAACCTTTGCGTAATTTAGTGATTGCACTTAGTGGATACCAGAACCCTTTGCGTGCAGACCTCCGTCAGAAAGCAATCGCACTTGGAGCTCTTTATAACAAAGAATGGTCTGATGATTGCACTCATCTTATGTAGGTCTCTGACACCATAGCACGTACCTTTTAAAATCAAAAGTATTTGCTGCACCACAGCCAATTCTAGATGTATATGAAGCCTTTATGTTCCATAACGCGTTTGCTCTCATTGAATTATTTTTTTTACGTAACGATTTTTTACATCTTTCTGACAGTTGTGCATTTTCCAACACACCAAAATTCAAGGCTGTATGTGGTAAAGGTATCATAGTTACTGAAAAGTGGCTCAACGATTGCTATCAACAAAAGCGTCTGCTGGAATGGCGGCCTTATCGTCAGGGTAGAGCTTCTACTCCCCCGAATGCGGCGGCTCTACCCTCAACTTCATATTCTGTCCATCCTATTTCTACATTTGATTCTTCAAGCATGAATGCCGATAGTTCAAGATTTCCTGACGCAAAAATTGACCAAAATGGATATAAGATTGCAAGGTCAGTCTTTTATTTGATTTAGGTTTTAGTTATTTTACTTTTTGTTTCAAAACATTATGTTGCATATATTTTATTTTTATTTTTTGATAGCAAAGTAAAATCCAGTTTCCGAAGTCTCAATGGTTGAATAGCTAAAATTTATTTTACTATTAAGTACTTTATAGGCTCTCATAAATGATGGACGATAACCATTCATAATCTCTCATCTAAATACCGACCATTAAATCAGGATTCATTATGAAGCTTCTCCTACAGACTCTCAGCTAAAGATAGCCATGGTCTTTTTGGCAACGATGACTAGACACTTTCTCATAAAACAGCTAAATAAACCATTGAAGCACGCATATTTCCCATACTTCAATAATAAAGCGCTTTTCTTTTAATTTTATGAAACTATTTCTAGCCTCTA